TTCTCTTGCCTTGGATTTGCATCCCCAAATACGTCTCCGTCTCCGAGGCTGAGGTCCAGAAGTGTGTGGCTAGATCATTTTTCAAGTGGGTCTTTTCAACCAAGAGAAACACAGCCTTCATTATTTATACATCTTCCTGCAATAGTCCTTTGATGTTTTCCTCTCCACCATTTTCTCTTTCTGGAACTCCTATTATTGAAATATTACACATTCCTGGATTGAATCTGGTAATAAAAAAAAAAAAAAAAGGCTTCTTTCCAGTTCCTATTTCAGTTGTTTTTTATTTTTGGTTGTCGTTCTGTTTTTTTTTTCTAGTGATAGTCTACACTTCATCTTTTTAGATCTTCTACTTATATTGTGTATAGTCAACATGTTTTTAGTTTCCAGGAACTTGTTTTTTACTCTGATGCGTTTCTTTTTCATCCTAGCTTTATTTCATGAGTACACTATTCTCTTTGCTCTCTCCCTTGGTCATAGTTGTTGTTTGGTCTCTTTACTTTGGAAGTTTTCTGCTTTCATGTGCTGTCAGTTCATATAAAACAGATAGGAAGTCCTGAACGACGGGCTGGAATGAAGACAGGTGGGATGCCCTAGTGAGTGGGTGACCAGCTGGTTGTTTTTTTCTTTTTGGCCTTAGATTTTTTCCCCTCTATGGACAGTTCTGATTCTGCAGAGTAGGATCTCTAAGTCCCTCTGACTAAGGAAATGATTCTAGTTTCTGAAGTTTTGGAATTGAGAGCAAACAAAAGCAGGAAGGACAGGGGTGACCTACCTTTCAATGCAGATTCTCACTTGCTTCTTCAGTGTGCCACACCACCTGCTTGGGCCTGATAGCCCTATACCAGGAATGGCTCTGGTCCAGGTTTGTCAAAGAGCAAACTTCCATCTCCTCAGGAGTTGGAAAGAAAGTTACCTATCTGCACATGACGGGTTGGGAACCTGAGTCTCTCTCTCTCTTTTTTTTTTTTTTAAGACTTATTTATTTATGCATACATAACTGGGGTACAAGCCAGAGGTGCAGGGATAGTGAGAGGATTCACCAGAGACAGAGTGAGGAGCAGAATAGGCAGATCAGAGAACTACACTGCTGAGGGGAGCAACAGGCAAGACAGGAGAGGTCTGCTGTGCCATGTGGACACCTCTGGGGTGGGGAGCGAACTCATGCTCAAGTGGCTTCAGCTGGCTTGTAGTGCAGCGCTTTAACCCCTTGCGCCACCAGGGAGGGCCCAGTCATTTTTTTTTTTTTAATGTAAAGTGTAGTTTTCCATAGTTATAGCTCTTTCTGTATTATTTGAAAACAAAGTTTTCGTGACACAGCTTGAGAGCAGGGGTATTAATACCCATGGTAAACTCAAAAAAGTATAATCTTGTACAGTAAGTTTTCACAATAATGGAGATTATCATATGCTAGACAAGATGGCAATACAGACATCTTCTTTAAAATGTACACTTATGCAAGCAAGTTAAGATAACCAATATCTTACAAAAACATTACCATAGCCTGGGCGACTAAAACAATACTTATTTCTCACAGTTCTGGAAGCTGGGAAGGCCAAGATCAAGACGAGGACAGATCTGGCATTCGGCCAGGGACCCGTCCTGGTTTGCAGTTTTCACCGTAGCCCCCGTAGGCAGAGAGGGAGTTAGCTCTCTTTTCTCTTAGAACACTAATTCCTCTCACGAGGGCCGCAGGACTGGGCCTCCTCGTGACCTAGTTACCTCTTACAGGCATCAAAATATCATATTAGAGGTTAGGATTTTTTTTGTAGGTAGAGGAGACACAAATATTCAATCCATAACACATACTCAGTTTATGTTCATAAAACTGCATATATTAAAACTGAAAGGGAAAGGCCTTCTTGAATGTCTTTGTTTTGGCAAAACTTCTATACTCCTCAGGCATTAACAGTCATTATTATTAAAATCAGAATCAATCACTCAAATGGCATTTCTTTGTTAATTATTGTTTTGAGAAAAATCAGGTCTATAAATCTATCTTTTATGTGTATGTTCAGTATTCTTTCAAATACCTGTAGTAATCCTTTGAGGCTTGTTAAATAAGCATCTATATTATTTTGTTAAAACAGAAAATATTAAATAAGCTATCTATAAAATATTTTTTATTCTTGCTTATATTGTTTATACTATAAATATAACACATATTAAATTTGGGATTATGAAACTAAAGTAATAAGGAAGAAATATTATTACACTATATATGAAGATAGTCATCTTTAAAAAATCAGTCACAAAATCCTCCCCCACCTCAACCTCCAATCCCTTTTTAAATCAGTTTTATTTTGTTTTACACAGACGAAATCAGACTGGGAGAAACTGGATTTACTGGGCACTCCCCTATGAGCAAAGCAACTAGTTAGGTGCTATATATGCACTGTGTCGCTATGTTAAGAACCAGGTTTTATGACCAGTGTACAGACAGAAAAACTGAGGATTAGTGAGTTTTCATTAACTGTCAGGGCCATATAGCTTATAAGCAGACAAACTGAGACGAGGATGCCCAATGTTAAACCTTAGCCATTATATTTATGTATTTTTCTTTAGTTTTTCCCATCACTAAAAAATCACTGCAATATTACATAAATGAAATTTTTTCAAAGGTCCTACATGATTACTCATGTTTACTGAAGTCCTGCAAACTTTAGGGTCATCATTGTTGTTCAAGTTAGAATGTATTAAGTTACTAGAGATTTTGAATGTTTATTAGATATTTGTATTTCTAAAGAAATGCATTTCTTAAATAAGTACAAAGCAAACCAACAATTACAAAAGGACTCTGGAACAAACAGAGCATCACCTATTGATGGTTCTTGCCATTATGGGGCGGTACAGTAGGGTAGCAGTTGGAAGACTTGATGAGACACCTAAAGATATTAGATGCGTTTCTGTGGTTATTTCAATTAAGGACCTTAACAGAGTATCCCCACTCATTTTTACCTGATAATGCTACACTACTAAGGGATGCGAGACTAACAATTACCATTTCACTTCTTCTAGAAATGATTTGTGTAAATTCCTGAAAATGCTCTCTTCAAAATAAACGATCAGGCACAAGTAAGTGAAAAAACAAACCCTAAATACCTGTAGAGTTAAGGCTACTGGTGTAGGGATGAGAGACTAAACAGGAGGAAGCAAGATGAACTGTGCTGGAGGACTGTGGGTGCTCTGGAGGGTGTGGTGTGGTCACAGGCATATGAGGGATGTGATCCGACGCAGCTGAACGGCAGACAGCGCGGGAAATCATTCTACCTCTATTAGACAGACAAAAAGCAGACAAGGAAGCTAAAATGCTAAGACTTAAAATTCTTTCCCTACAGTTTGTTAATTCACCATTTTCTGTAATTTAAAGAAATATAATTTAAAAAAGGCATTTACTAAGCAATGATAAATGCCAACTGAACTCTTACTGGAAATGGAACCTATTTTAATACAACAGTTGGAGCCACTGATACATTTAGTTTGAATTATCCGTGACAGTGCCTCAATTACACTCCCAGGTAAATTATTTTTCTCGAGAGTCAATCTAATTTTGGTCCAATCTTCCGAGTGATTTAGTTTATTTTCCATGTATCTTGACAAAGGTAATTATAAAAGAAGAAAACATTATGGACATGTCGTTGTGAAATGTGGAGAAAAATGTCACTTTCCAAAAAGACCTACATTTTTTAGTTGGTGTTAAAAAATCATGACTTTGGAGGTTACAAAAATATGCCAGCATGACTGAGGGCCTGCAATCTACCAAAGGGTAGAAAGACGCGTGGCTGGTGCTGGGGTCTGTGACTCAGCAATAAATGAACGAGCATTTTTAGCTACCTGCCACACCCTGCCTGGCAGACTGGCACTGCAACAAATGCATGGAGAGGCTTTTACCCTTATTTGAGATTTATGTAAAATTTACAATGGCAATATGCTGGAAATTTGTATTTTGAATATGAAATGTCTACCTTTTCTTGAATCCTGATCAATAGCTTTCTTAATAGTCTAACTTCTCTTTTTGTAGATCTGACTTGCGGTAACTATCCAGAAAACAAATTGCACCAAGAAAACAAACTGCAAGATCTTTGGCTGTAAAAAACTACAAACCCCGCAAATTTGCAGTAGTCTAGATTTAAGAAATGAAGTTCACTGGACAGAAATCAGCAGCACTATAAATTGTCTGAGATTCTGCGTGGGGGCAGCTGACCCTCCCAGAGAAGCCCACACTAACGCGAACACACTCATGTGCGAGTGTACGTCAACACTGCACCCAGGGATGCGAACGGCAAGGGCAGCGCAAGTCTTGCATGATGCCTAAGACAGCCATCACAGTAATGATTACATTATACAGGGGAGAAA